TTTTGCGCTCCTTTTCCCTAGGCAGCTCCCAGATGGATGCTGTCTCACGCCACCTGCTCGGCTCACAGTGAGGAGAAGGGGCTTTATCCCCTAGAGTGCTCCTCTGGGAACTTAAGACATTTGAGAACTGCCAGGTGTGCGGAGCGCCAGGCAGAAACAGAGAAAGAAGAAGGCGGATAGGCTGGGACGAGGAGGAAATGTTTAAAGACAGAAGTGAGAGCTGGGACGCCCCGCTTCCCCACCTTACCCCACCCCACCCCCACCCCCGCTCACATCGGCTCCCAGACATATTTCCCAAGAGTTGATGAGGGTTCTCTGCATTTTCTATGATGATGCTCTGCTGTTGTGTTACTGCGATGTACAGATAACAGAGCAGCGCAAGAGACAAGAATGTGAGCATAGGAACTTTTTTATTGTGCTCTTTTTCCCCGCTGCCATGTTGTCCCACCTTGGAGGCCTCAACCCAAGATCCCACTCAGGCTCGGCCCCTAGTGTGCTTTGGCAAGGGATAATAAGGCCTGTGGAAACCACTGCTCGGAACAGGGCCTCCTCCAAAGAGAGCTCCGGAGATCTGAATGGCTAGCGAGTCCCTGTGTCTTAAGTCTGTCTTCCTGTGAGGCATTTGAGTCTTGGTCTTGGTGACCTGTCGCACTGTACTATAGCAGAGAAGCTGCAGGTCTACCTGTACCACAGGCTACTGTAAGGACCAAGCAACGTACAGACACTGCCAGGTACCGCATCTGATGATCATAGAGTTGGGAACCTCTTCTGGACTGAGGCACTGTAGGAGAATCTGAGGCCAAAGCCATAGCAGAATGAGAGACACAAGCCGCACAGTGTGGACAGAAATATTCAATGACTCAAGAAGGAATATTCGGCCAAGACCAGAATGTGAGGAAATGACAAATGCATGAGGTAATGCGTATGCCAATTAGGTCAGTTTATCCATCCTATATATATGCATCGTATTGTATAAGATAGGCACATACATGTTTATTTGGTGCTTTCATAAGACAATGATTTTTTGTTTCTCTCTTTTTTAAAAAATATTTATTTATTATGTATACAATATTCTGTCTGTGTGTATGCCTGCAGGCCAGAAGAGGGCACCAGACCTCATTACAGATGGTTGTGAGCCACCATGTGGTTGCTGGGAATTGAACTCAGGACCTTTGGAAGAGCAGGCAATGCTCTTAACCGATGAGCCATCTCTCCAGCCCAACAATGATTTTTTTAAGGAGAAAAAAAAATCACTATGATATGAGAAATCTCCTAAGTCAGAAAAGCTGATATCCTCCATAAATAAAGGGGGGGGGGCAAAGGAAAGAGAATCCTGACTAGAAGTGTCTCAGGATGCAGGGTACTAAGAGCCACACCTGCGTGCTGTGTGGATCTTTTCAGAAGAAACTGCCTGTAAGAAGCTGACAGTCGACCCAGGGCTCACACCTTTAATCCCAGCACTCAGGGGGCAGAGGCAGGCGGACCTCTGAGTTCAAGCCCAGCCTGGTCTACAGAGAGAGTTCCAGGATAACCATAGCTACACAGAAAAACCATGTCTCAAAAAGAAAAAGAGAAAAAAAAGTGAGTGGTACACACTTGAGGGCTGAGTGAGCACGTGACAAAGGAATGTTTCAATGCCTTGGATGGTTCTGACAGGCTTGGTGTTGAAATAAGAGCGGCGGGCTGTTTCCCGCCACCTGGCTAGCTTTACCCGAAATAATTACACAGAAACTATATTCTTTTAAACAGTGCTTGGCCCATTAGTTGCAGCCTCTTATTGGCTAGCTCTTACATATTGATCTAACCCATTTCTAATATTCTGTATAGCCCACGAGGTGGCTTACCAGGGAAGATCTTAACCTGTGGCTGTGTTGGGTGGGAAAATCATGGCAACTGCCTGACTCAGCTTCTTTCTCCCAGCATTCTGTTCCATTTACTCTGCCTATCTAATTTTTTGTCCTATCAGAGGCCAAGCAGTTTCTTTATTACTTAACTAATGAAACAACAGATTAGAAAGAAATCACTCCCACATCAGCTTGGGCTACAGCTTTTTAAACCAGAGAAAGGAAGGAGGGACAGGCACTTTGATCCATGCGATATAAACATGTCTACCTTACAATGATGCTTGGAAGAGTTGAGTGAAATTTGCTTCAATTAAAAAAAATGGGCAAGAGGGAAACAAATTTTTACAAAGAATGAGCATTGGTCATTGTTTCTTCTGCATTGTGGGCACACACAGTGGTTAACTGGGAAACTTTTCCAATTTGTGTATGTTGAACACATTTCATTTTTTTTTTTAATTGAGGAAAAGCCCTCCAAGGAGCTTGAGAGACTGTTAGGAAAAGCAGGGAAGACACAAGACATGGTTATCAAGTGTGATAGGTCAAAGAACAACTATGAAGGTTCAGAGGAGGAAGGTTACAAGGGAGGGAGGCCAATCTTAGTCAACTAAATGAAGATGAGCAGAAAGAACATTCTAGAAGGAGCAGGTCCACTTGCACAAGCAGAGAGACTCTAAGTGGCAATGCACTGGTCACTAGTTTTTACTAAAGAAACCAGTTGATCCTAGTTTGTTCGGATCATTCCTACTTTCAGCTCTGAAATCTAGTGTTGGAAACCCATCCATCCCTACACATGGAAGGTTAGTCACGCTAGAGTCCCTGATTATGTGGAAATTGGATTGACCAGGAAAGGGGCAGCAGAACCTAGCTAGAAACATTGTGAGCTACAGACTTGGAAATGAGTCTGAAAAAGAGGCAATTGCTGGGACTTATTTACTGCCACATCAACGCCAAACCTCAAGAGCAGCTCATCAGCTCAGGACACCCAAAGCCTCCTACCCTAGAGCAAGTTGGCTTCTTACTTCCTCTGTTCTGCTAGAGGGAGCCTACAGATGGCATAGTTGCTGTCTGAGTCTGACCCCTAATTTCATCTGAATGTATGTCTATATTCCGCATGCATATATTGTGAATACACATTTCACGTGTATATTCTTTAGGCAATTGCAATATGCATCTTCTCATTCATTCACTGTTTAAAAAGCAAAAACTCTCCATGGTGGCAACCAGCAAGATGACTCAGTAGATAAAGGTGCTTACCACCAAGCCTTTGATCAAGGCAGTCAACCTGAGAAGTAGAATAAAAAAAAAAAAAACCCTACCCCCACCAGGCGGTGGTGTCATATGCACAGTCAGACAGATCTCTGTGAGTTCAAGGCCAGTCTGGTCTACAGACCGAGTCCCAAGACAGGCTCCAAAAGCTACAGAAAAACTTTGTCCAAAAACAAACAAATAAATAAATAAATAAATAAATAAATAAATAAACCTACTCCCAACTCTGACAAGTTGTCCTTTGACCTCCCTACACACATGTCCTGTCACACACACCTGATACACACACAACATAAATAAATGTAAATTTAAATTAAGAATGCTAACATCAATAAATAAATTGGTCAGTTAATAAATTAAAGCTTAGAGAACTAATTTGTGCAAGGCCAAACAGAGAATGACAATATACCTCCTTATCTGCCATGTGGGGCTTTGTAAATAGTGAATTATTATATAGATAAAATGCCTAGAATAATGACTGGCATAGAAGAAATCAGTTAGGGCTTATGGATCAACTCTTATTGATGGTTAGTTTTGCACCACGTAGCCACACCCTACAGGAAAAGAAAGCACAGAAGTCTGAATTTAAAGGAAAATAAGTTCTTGTCTGCATTGCAGTGCAATTTATCCCAGGGCTCCTTGGCACATGGCAGCTCCAGTTTTACAAGCCAATCTGAGCATAAAGGAAGAGGCACCAACATTAGAGAAGTGACATCCACTAAATTCTTCAAACTCAAACTCCCCTGAGTCCTCCCTACTATCTGTTCCCTCCATGGCTCCCTAAGTACAAGTGTTCAATTTTCACAGAGGAGCCAAGCTTGCTCACATAGCCCATCCCTCTCCCTGCAAAGCCTTCCCTAGTAAGAATTCCCCCCATCTTTGCAAGTTAAGGAAATCAAGACACCTGAGATGGAAGAGCCCATGACTTTGATCTTGACCTTAAGCTTCCCCGGATGACTCTTGAGGAAGCCATTTTACAGTCCACAGGGGAAGACCTCCACCCAATATACCATTGGTAGTAGTGAGGTACCCTTCCTGCCCCACTGCCCCACTAACAATGACTCCCATGTTCTTAAGACAGTCGGGAGAAGGACAGCAGTCAGTCTGGCCACCCGAATCTTAAATAATATCCATCACATGATGTCCATCAACGTCTTGAGAACCGGCCACACCACAGCTCACACCGGCTTCCCCGAGCACAGGCTGATGGGGTCATACAGTGGAAGGCTTTGTGCCATGTTTTGCTTCCTTATCTTCACAGATACAACTGGCCTCTCACAAAAAGAGCAATGGGGGCACTGTCGTGCCAGCTGGGAGAAGCAAGAGGGAGCTGCTTTGCCAGAGCCGTGCTCCACAGACAGACTTCTGGTCTACTGGTGTTTTGCAGAGACTCATACTTGTGAGACCTGGGATGTCTCCAGAGGCATTCCTCCCATCCTGGAACTGAAGTTGTTCCCTAACTCTACACATACGTCTCCAACATCCAACGCAGTTAGAGAGGCCCATATCTCACCATCAATCCTGTCTCAGCAGGCTCTGAGCCAGGCATAACAGATAACCTGCCACCGGCACCTCAAGCCTCCTCCAACCCAGAGCCTTGCAGGACTGCGGAGCCCAGGTCGGGAGTCATCCTGCCCACCCATCAGCAGCCAAGTACACACTTCTCCTGAAACTCAAAGGCACGCTGCAGAAAAGCTTCATTAATTTTTCACAAGATTTGTCTAATAGTGGCTGAGCAGAGCTGAGAAAGCCACATTCAAGTGCCTGTGCCAACAGCCTGCAAAGAGTTAACCCATTAGGCCACATCCTGGTGAGCTCATCCCTGCTGGAGCCTGCTCAGTGGCTGGGATTCACAGCTCACTGACTCTGACTCTGGATGTGGCCAGGGTGGCTTTCTCCAGCTGGGATGAAGGACTTGAGCAGAAACTCATCGCCGACTTCTTCCCTGTGTGAGCGCCCACTGAGTCCCAGGTCTCCCATCTTCCCCCGGTGCGCGGTAAGTAAGGAAAAGAAGCCCCACCCCCGCAGCCCTTTGCTATGCCTCCCTGAAAGAAGGAAGGTTTGAAGTTTGCTTTAGAGTGTGTTGAGTCTCTGAAGTGGAGTTGGAAGGCAGTGTGAATATCAGAGAAAAAGATGGGACAAAATCAGCTTCAAGCAGGTTGCTGGGACTACCGGGAAAGACAGACAGAAGTGCGGTGAGCTGGGGGCCTCTCACTGTACACCTGGGAAAAGATAGCATGTGCTTGGGCAACTCCTAGCCTTCCACCCTTGGAAGCCGTTAAAGGGAAGGAGTGAGCAGGGACCCTCTGATCCGGCAGGAGCAAAAGTGTCAAATTGTGAAGTGCAAGGACACCCATAGACCCCGAAGTACCGGGTACAGATCATCTGCCCCTGGGCATCCTACATCCAACCTCGGCAGCTGCGGGCTTGTCCCTCCTTCCTGCAGGTGTGGCCGGTACCCGGGGCAGGTGCCAGGGAAACAAGGTGGAGTACCCTGGCTTGGACAGTCTTCCTTTTAGAAATGACGGAGCAAGACAGATACATAAAAGCCCAGACAAAGGCATGGCTCCCTCAGGCAGAGGAGGGCCGTGGGGACTCCGCCCCTCAGTAAAACCAAATGTAACCACACATTTCCCCTGAGCTGTTTTTCCGCTCTGTAGCCCCAATGGCCCGTGTACTAGTTGTGTGGCCTGAAGAGCAAGGTGCGTGGCGTCCTCAAGATAACTCTGACCTTAGAGAAGAAAGTCCCCTTCCTGAGAGTGCTGTGAGCTGGGGACAGATGGCGTGAGGCCATGTTGACAGCAGCAACACACTCCACACTCTCCAGTCTCTACACTATCGGGCCAGGCACAGGGCCACACATGCCTTATCAGGGGACTAGACATCACCAAATGAGCTCCTGGAAGTGGGATAGTACAGCAAGAGGAGATAAAGACCCTGGGGGTTGAGAGAGAGAGAGAGAGAGAGAGAGAGAGAGAGAGAGAGAGAGAGAGAGAGAGAGATCTGCTTCCCACCCACACTGGGTCCTGCTCGGGAATATGAAACCGTTGCCATTCCCTAGGCAAAGCCTGTGGCCTGCCTTCCGCTCTCCCCACCAGTCTACTGGCCTCCATGCTCTGAGGTCATCTGTACCCTCCCCTCTCCTCTCCTCCATGTCACCAGGTCCTTGCAGTTCCCAGAATAGCCGGGTTCCTATCAGAGCTCTCTAGGTGGAAGGGTCTGGGGAGGAGGGACAGAGGAGTCAGATAACTCCAGGCCTGAGTGAAGCAACAGAGTGGGGCCTCTTTTTAACATTAAGGTAGCTAAATGTGTTTGTTGTGCATGGGGCACCCAGTTTCCACTTGAATTTTTAGTCAACAATGGATGCATTTGGGGTAGGTGATAGCCAAATCAGTGTTAGATCACTCTGAAGCTTCTAAAAAGTATCTGTTGTTAACTTGAAATCAAATTCGGCTAACCACTCTGTCCTTGCCCTTACTAGATAGACATGAGAACCCCATCTAAACGGATGCCACATTTCAGCTCGTTCCAGTGAAGGCAGTGGCACCATGAGAGAGTTGCGGAGTGAATTCTAAACCAAAGTGGACAGCTATACAGTGCCAGGGTTCTAGAAAGGAAGACAGTAAAGAGGAAGAAAAAAGTCAAGTGCCTTCCCCTAGGAAGAATATCAAATACCAGAATTTGAGGTCCAGCATCCGGGAACCTCAGTTTCCTAATCTGTAAAATGGGAATGAGGTTAACTGTCCCCCACCCTCTTTACAGTGGCAGGAGGCCTCAGAGACCCTCCAGGTAAAGAAAGCACCAGATGCCAGATACTGTATCCTCCGTGATGATGGTTGTGGCTTTGTGGCCACTCTGCCCCCACAGCCCCAGCCCAGGACTCAGCATCCCATCCCATGGCTCCTCAGTTTATCACAGCCCCTGCCCCCTGCCCCGCCCCTCACTCCTCATCCAAACACCCATCATGGCAGTTCTGCTCACTGACTGTGCTCCAGTTAAAGTGTCCTCCCTTCTCACCCTTCCCTCGATTTGAAAATGAAAAACAAAACTGCCACCCGGAGAGTGGCATCAACCTTAACTCTGGCTCTGGAGTCACAGACACCCAAGCCTACAGTCCAACCCCGTCTTTCTGCTCACCTAATTGCTCAGTACTCTCTGATACAGTTTCTCACCTGTAAAATGGGGGTGTGGTAGTTGCACCTCCCTTAGTGACTTCCTAGAAAGACTTGGTAGAGCAAAACAGCACATCTCTGCTGCCCAGCGGAAGGGAGTAGTTATTATCGGTGTTGACAGCAGGGTCTGGTATGAACTTGGGCCACCAGGGGGCAGTCATCACGAGGAGAGATTCTTACTAGGAAGCGCAAACAAGGGATGTAGGTCTGGCCTCCTTCCCACCAGAGTCCGCAGCTGCCTCTCAACTGTCACTGTACCGGCTGCTCTTAGACTGGAAAGGATGGTTTACAAAAGGCACGTGGAAAAGAACAGGGTCAGTGATCTAGCGATACAAAGCCAGCCAGCCAGGTTTCAACCCTCAATGGCTCCAGCCAGAACTGGAAAGAAAACCAACTCTCTGAGTAAATTGCTTTGCAGATGCGTGCAAAGCCCTATCCTACCCTGCCCAAAACTCCTCTATTTATTTAACCATTTAGCAAAGTTCTGAGCCAATGCTAGACAGTACAGGAAGTTGACGAGATTCTGCTCCAGCCCCAAGGGACCGGGGAAGAAAGAGCTTCTCGAACTGGAATGATAGTCCTATCCAGTCATCTTCAGAGTCGTGATTCACTTCTTCCCCCCCTTACAATTCCTCCCATTAAGTGATGCATTTCAGGCCCTTCAGACTCTACTGTAGGAGAAACGTATTCAGCCCATCTTATCTTAGCCACTCATTCTCAGCCTGCAGGTCATCCGCAACAAGCCATTGGCTGGAGGGTGGGTATTGAATGTGTGAGGAAAAAGCCAAACCTTCCCTCTCACCGACACCAGTCCTCTCCCATCTCCATATTTGGCATCTCCATATTCCTCCAGGTACAAAGAGGCAGGGAGGAACTGGCGAGAAGGTGTCCTTCCATCTGCCCACGTGCAACTCCCTGAGCATCTTCTAGTTGCTCCCTCCATTCCTGCACTGTTCTGAGCTTTGTCGGTTCAGCTGGTTCTTAGCTACTTCTAGAATATCAGAGAAATGGGAGTGTACAGTGTTTGTGTTCTTCTGTTGCTGTTCCAGGATGTCTTTGTGGCTCATGCATAACGTTATGTGTGTCAGAAGTTGAAACATTCCATTGTGCAAATATCCCCAATTTATTACCCTCCCCCAACATAAAGCTTCTACAAATATTCTTACACACAGGTTTTTTTGTTGTTGTTGTTTGCTTGACTCTCTTGTTTACATATGTGCTTAATATTTAGGAGTAAAACAGCTAGGTCAAGGGACAGGTGTGTGTTCAACTCCACGAGACTCCTAGTCTGCACAACAGTGCAGGAAAGCTCTGTTTGGTCTACACACAGGGCAGCGAGTGTGATGGTGGGAGAGTTTGACACTCTAGTGCATGCATGGTGCTGTCTCCTTGGTCTTTGTGTTGCACTGTCCTATCAAATGCCAGTGTCACTTTTTCATGGGTGTTTGTGTTTGTTTTTTGTCTTGTTATGGGCCTGATAATAGCTTGCCCATTTTTGGTTGTTCAAGAGAGACAGATCCCTAGAACATATTGAACAGACCTATTACCTTCTGCCACTTGGGGGGAGAGATCCCCTTTTGATGATTTCATTAGGGGGAAAGCACAAGTTTTTAATGCCAATGGCAACTTCCTTTTTTAAATTTTTTATTTATATTTTATTTCTATTTTACATATAAATGTTCTGCATGTTTACCTGCATACCAGAAGAGGGCATCAGTTCCTATTATAGATGGTCATGAGCCACCAAGTGGTTGCTGGGACTTGTATTCAGGACCTCTGGAGGAGCAGCCAGTGCTCTTAAGCCCTGAGCCATCTCTCCAGTCCCTCCAAAGGCAACTCCTTAACCCCATGTCTCACAGACCCTGGGAAAAGGAACTGAGTCCTCCACTCAGATACAATTTTAATAACACTAGTCTTCATCTGTCATGGAGGATCTAAGGAATTGTTGCAGGAACCCTTTAAGAACAATATGCCAGGTTGTTAGGGGACAGAGGCAGGCAAAGCTCTGTGAGTTCAAAACCTGGTCTATTCAGTGAGTTCTCACCCAGCTAGGGCTACATAGTGAGACCCTGTTTCAAAAGAGAGACAGAGAGACTGGCCCAGAGCCTTCATGATAGCTCAACCAGTAAAGACACTAGACACTAGTCATGGAGCCTGATGACCTATGTTCTGTACTGCGATCCGCACAGTGGAGGACTAGAGCCTCCTTCCACAAGCTGTTATCCGACTTCAACAAATCAGCTGTGCACATGTGTGCCCGCATAAACACATGTGCAAAAAAGAACAATGGTGAGCCACCTACTGACCTCACCTCTTTCCAAACCCAAAGAAGCAATCGTCTTTCAGGAATGGCAGAGGCTTTCAGAATGTTCCCATGGTGTTCCTGGACCACAGGCCCCCTCTATTCTCTCCTAATGCCTCTCCTCGGTGCCTTCTGGACCTTAGAGTTTCTCATAAAGAAATTCCCCAACTCTTCCAAGTTCCCCGTGATACTGATTCCTTCCTTTGACTTGAATTAAATGCGGACGAACAGATCCACTGTCTGCCATATAGCTCCTCCCCCAGAGCCTCCCAGAAAGGGAGCACTCCTTCCTTCTCTCACAACCCCTAAGTACCATCATCCCAGCTCCCCAGTGTGCTTTATCACCCTCCTGATAGAAACCTCCCATTGGAGAACTGTGGTGCATCTGCCATGGGGCTTCCAGACTTCAAGGATCAAGGTCGGACTTAAATTTGAGTTTCAGAAAAACAATAAGCATTGTGACAATAAAGTCACAATATAATATAATACTGAAAGCACACTTTCTACTTTTAAAAATATCTG